GAAGTACCTGAAACCAAAACTGAAAACCGTAAGCACGAAGCTTAGTAAGTTCCCCAACCTACCACATACCCTGCATAACCACACACAGCAGATACTGGGCCACGCCTGCTAGTATGGGCCTCGCCCGCTACCTCCGGCCTCGCCCGCTACAACGACCTCGCCGCTCCAGGCCCCGCCTGGCTTCGAGCCCCGCTCGGGTACAGATATGTTTCACTTAGGCCTCGCTTGTCACTGAACCTCGCCCGCTAACATATACTAACACATAAAGATATCACAACACATAAGCTAAACATATACTACTGAATCATAATCTAAGGCCTTGCCTATCTTGGGCCTCGCCCATGTCCTGCTACTGATGAGTCATGGAACCTCATCCACGCTCCTACTGATAGTGAGATATGGGCCCGACCCACACTCACTCTTTCCCTAACCAGGGCCTCGCCCCTCCCCTGCTGTTAATGAGATATGGAACATCGTCCATACTTTGGTATTGGTGAGATACAGGACCTCGCCCATACTCACCTGTCTACTAGGCACATACATATATCACACAGACAACAAGTATACTCTATAATGCAAACCATTGCTTAGGCACCCGCCCGCTATCAATGGACCTTGGTCCCGAATATCATACTGACAATCAATGCCTAGGGCTAACCCCGAAGTTTTCATACTCATAACTACATGGGCCGGCATTGTGGCCATAGACCCATTCACAGAAAGGGAAACTCACCTCAAACTGCTGAACTTCCGCTGCTACTAATGACTGCTGACCGACAATTCTCTGAACCGCTGCTCCACTAGCTCCCTGAGCTACTAATACCAAAACAACACTTAGCCTAACTGCCCTCCAAAAGTCAGCTAAGTCAACTCTGGTCAAATTCCAAGTCCTAGTCAAAGTCAACCTACCAGGCAACCCTACTCACCGAGTCTGCTTACTGACTCGCTGAGTTCTTAGGCTCAGAATCCTTCCATTCATGACTCGACTCGCCGAGTCAGCCCCTAACTCGCCGAGTCTACCGATTTCAGAGTCCTGTCCTATCCAACTCACTGAGTCTCCATTCAACTCACTGATTCGAGTCTTAACTCAAAGGGTCTAGGTTTCGCGACATGACTCGCCGAGTCCAAGAACAGACTCGCTGAGTCCAAGGCAATCTTCAACAGACTCGCCGAGTTGTTCATCCAACTCGTCGAATGCATCTCTATCTTCATACTACTCGTCGAGTCCACTAGAAGGACTCGCCGAGTCTATTTAGTCCTTCATACATTCAGAGGCTTTTTGAGTCATGCAGGGACTCCAAACTGTAGATCCAATCTTCCAAAGCCCATTCCTCACGTAAAGTTGCAAACTTTACGTGTAGCGAAGGTGATCTAGGCCCAAAACACTCCAAACTAGGGTTTAAGACAACCATGCTTCACCAACACCCCCAAGACTGATACTTTATGAGTCTGTAGGCCAGAATAGACTTAGATCTGAAGTAGCAACTTCAGATCTGGGCTCTAACTCGAATTGATTCAAGAACTTGGCATAAAAGCCCCAAATCTCATAAGAAAGGGAAAACTATGTGCAAAAGAGTGAAGGTAACGACTTCTTACCTCCAAATGCTTTGAAAAGTCACACCAATTCAAGATCCAAGGCTTCCTCTTGCACCACTATGAACTTCCTTCTCTTCCAAGCTTCAAATCACAATACAAAGGCTAGATCTTTGCTCAAAAACGGATATGGTGGCTAGGGTTCGGTATTCTGGATGAGAGAAGCTGTAAAGGAACGCTAGGGAAGAGAATGAGACGTTTAAATAGGGCACCAAGTCCCGATCTTAGGGTATCCCAATCCAGACCGGATTCGCCGAGTCCATTCTCCTACTCGCTGAGTTGGTCACTTACTCCTCGACCCGGATCCCGCTCGGACTCGTCGAGTTCCATCGTGGACTCGATGAGTTGACCCCCTTGACATAGGGTTTACATTTCCTTTCTTGGTCTTTCTGATTCTGGGTGTTACAGATACCAATCTTTCACACCCCAAAACTGGAACAACGAAAACGTTCGGTGGCTGAGGACGTCATATGTAGTATCACAACAACTGTATAATAGTAATCAATGCAACAACGTTCATTGTATAGATGCTAAAGTGTTCACATCAAGTTCAAACCATTACATGATTATAATAATATGATTTTATCAAAAGATAAGGTGAGACAATACAGCTCCATCTTCACGAACTCCGATGTGGATACATGTCTTATTAGATTCCTGAGAATACAAGTATTTTGAAAGCGAGTATCAGCTATAAAGTTGGTGAGTGCATAAGATTTTGTTTAGAGAAAATATCTTCTTTGTTAAATGAACAAGTTTGAAAGATCTACAAGAAAATCCTATATTTTCTTAATGTAAAGCATTACTGAGCCAATTCCTTCTATAATCGCTTCGTTTATACTAGTTACATACAATCAATACGAGACGGACAATCGATTGTGTAATTTGATCGTACCCCCACATCCAAACAAGGAAAAGAAAAGTAAAATTGAGTTCATGATGGGTTTTTGGCCATAAGAACATCCTATGTGCTCATACAAACCCTAATGCTTGGATCTAGGTTTCTCTGTTGTACATGCAAGTTATCCAAGACTATAAACCCTAGATCTAGCATATGATAATCAATATAACATATAATTAGGGTTTAGATCATACCCTGATTGTTATGTAGCAATAACAATCCAAAATTCTTCTTGTATTGACTTTAGAAAACTTAGAGTCACAAATGTCACTACTCTAATGGTTCACAAACACCAAGAGCAAGAGGATGAAGAGGAGAGGTGAAGGAGGCTGCCCAAAATGTGTATAGACCCTAGAAGGAGTCTTAGCCATGTTTTTGGGGCATAAGGGCTCTATATATAGTGAGGCTATTAGGGTTATCTAACAAGGAAACCGTAATTTGGATGCTTAAGCCCTAAGCAACCCATGGACTCCTTTCCTTAAAGGCCTTGGACGATTTCTAATGGGTATCCCCATAGAATTCGTCCAACCTTATAATATAAGGCAATCCATGGCCCAATTTCAATTATATTATAATTACAATTCCAGTCCCTTAAGTTTAATTAATCTCTTTTAGTCACAAAACTAATTCTTTGACTAATATTAATTAAACAATATAATTTCTCCATTAATATATTGTTCTCATAATATATTAATAAATCATATTTAATGCTTTCTCTCCATAATTCATCCTATCAAGTTGCTTTGGTGAAGGCAATCCAAAAGGACCATGCACCATCGGGTCAAGTACATACCAAAATAGTTATGGACTTAGACACTAATCCAACAGTCTCCCACTTGGATAAGTCTAATAACTATTATGCATATGACTTCAGATCCTGATCTGCAATCGTAGCTTTCCAAAGCCGTTGTCAACTCTGATCCTATCAGATACGCGTGTCCTTTAGATAAGGGATCATATATTCCTCCATTCTAGATATCGTAAAAGACATGATTTCTAATCATTCTCTCTGTACTATTTCTTAACTTCCGATTTATGACGACCGACTAATCGAACAAATCAAATTAGCCCTATCCCAACCGACCATTTACGTTTGTCATCACTAAATCATCGAGGGGCCCAAAGATATCGCTTTTATCCTACTTTGGATAAAAGGAACGGATAAACTTTGATTTAATGTTTGCTTGCACTCACTCACCGAATCACACACAACAATATGTTTTATGACACCAAGTTACTGGTGCGTTTACCTATTATCAATATGCAACCGATTTGCAAGATACAACTCACACATCTCGGTTTCAAGAATATAAGATGTTATCGTCTCACCAATCACTTGTGATACAATTTATGGAGTGATCCAAGTGAGCGTGGGTTTAATCCAATGCTCAAATCATATTCATAAGCACTCATGAACGTTGCAGCAAACATTTGCTTATGTCTAATACCCTTTAGACAATCCACACACCAATTCACGACAATCTTCTTTCATATCTACTTCCAACATATGAATGACTGTGGTTCGTTTGAATAATTTGACTGTTCTAAACCAATTAAATTATTTAGGAAGTCAAAACATGCAAAGTGAAACACAAGAATAATACTAATCCCATATGGCCTCAAACCTTTGAGTATAAATAAAACACCTTTTATTTATCACCATATCGATTACTCATTATTTGTCGTTTCGGGTAATCAACTTCTTACTTGAATTATTACACTTTTCCCATCCTCTTAGCATGCACACAATGTTTACCTATGGTTTTTACTTTGTAAAATCGATCAAATGAACACATTTCCAATCATACTCATTTCACAACTCCAAATCCTTTTTCATAAGTGTAAGAATATCAAATTCTTGCCACTTATAGAATATGCTAGATTCTAACATTTTATGCAATGATCCTTCATAATATCACTGCACTAAAGTCACAACGACTATTGCTAATGAAATTACAAAGTACTTTATCGGAGATTGTTACAATGCAATTCCTTAGATATGATGTCTCTCACTCAAAGTGCATACCTTTGAACATCCTTTTGCATAAAAGTTTTTAATCTAGACATAGATTTTCAATATTCAATTCCCAATCACTACTAGAAAAACAGCCTTTTACGACACTCATTGCGCATCGTAAAACGCTCAGACGACGCGCAAATGCGTGTCAAGGAAGGCCATGTCATAACGAGGGACGACGCGCTTTTCCGTGTCCTCTAGAGATGACACGCATTTACGATGCGCATTTATGACATGCTATGCATATCAATCAAGTCGGTGTCAAGAAAGGCCATGTCATAAATGAAGAAGACACACATTTTTGCGTCTCGTAATTTTTATTTTTATTTTTTAAAAATTATTTATATATTTACTAATTTTCAAATTAAATTTGCATTTCATGTCTTGTAATAGAAAATAAGATACCATTTACAAAAAATACAATCCATTGCACAAAAGTTAATGTCATACAAAATACAAAATAAAATACAATAAATAAGAAAGATAATTCATTGCACTAACATGTCAAATACAAATAATCATCCCTAACTATATAACCTAATACTACATTGCTATTAAGGGACATCATCATAACTCACTGAAGGTCTTGGAACAATGTTCTCGTCATCAACTCTTACACCAACCTTGCTTTAGTAGATGGTCTTGTAGCTACATTGCAATTTAGCCATTTCCAACTGCAATGTTTTATAAATTACTATTGTTTTAGATTTATTTATCTAAAACCAAAAATAAATATATTGAAAATGACACATACCAGTCCAGTAGACATTGCTAATCACCCAACTACTTCCATTTCGACTCACTTTGTGCTACTAATGTGATATCCTATATACACAAACAAATGTTATTATTAATTATAATTCATAAAGTCAAGTATTGGAATATCTTTTGCTTACCTTCACAATCTCTAGTTTACAAAGCTGAATAGCTAGTTCAAATCTATAATCAGGATCTGTAGCAACTGCTAAAGCTTCATCAATCATTCCACGTGACTCCAATAAATGAGCAACACTGTCGAGAAAAGAAATATTCATATATTAAATTTATTTGGTTTATCTCAATCAAAGTACAATGATACAAACTAAGTTGCCTTGAGAGAAAAAGAGACTTGCACGACATTAAGGGGGACATCCCCTAAAGAAACAGGTTTCACAACATTAATCACAAGGGCAACCACATTTACAGCGAGTTGGAACTGAATAAATTTTTGTATGTTTGCATGCCGAAGAAACACATTAATCTCAAAAAATAATAATAATAAAAATACTTTTGGAGCGTTTTCTATACCAACATAAAGCCCAAAAACAGAAGATATGAGACCTTTACAATGGAAGCGAAATTGTCTTCCAAGATTACGATATCACTACATTCTTTTGCAACTTCAGTTCCTTGGATGCCCATAGCAAGACCAATATCATCCTACAATTTAAATTTCAAAAAATAAAAATCATAAAAATACAGCAAAAATAATTAAATTAATCATGAAAGAGCTTTAATTATTACCTCATGTAGAGCAGGCGCATCACTTGTTCCATCTCTAGTGCAGCTAAGTGAACAACAACAAGAATTCATCTAATCTGCTACTATGCTATTCAGACATGTATATTCAAGAAAAGGAAATCAAAAGATTTGAATTTTTAAATTATATAAAGATAGGGTTTTTTATTGATTGTGCAAGATTTAGGAGGAGAGGAAAAAAAGATACAAAAATAGATTATACTGTGTTCAGAGAGATGTGTGGTGTGAAATATATATAAATAGTACTCTCTATAAGTGCTATGATTAGAACTCATACAAGTTTACACACAATTCTCCAAAAGTGTTACGATCATTTTTCATTGGAAAAATGGCCACCAATAAGATTATGTAAATTTGCCTACAAGGAAGAAGTACAACAGCTCGTACAACTAAGGCACCAGTGGCTCCAAGGCCACAAGGGTCATATGCAATTATAGCATAATTATGAACAGGGTGAAGACAGACCAGCTAATAAAATTAGATAATAACCTTAATTAAGAGATTAAGATTTAAGAATTAAGATTAATAGTTAAAAGTTAAAAGTTAATTTCTCTGTTTCATAATCATACCTATCATGGGATTTTCAACTTTTCTTGTGATTCCTGAAATTTCTGCGTTTCAAGCTCAAGTCTAAAGTTGTCTTTTGTTGTGATTCTTGACACTTCTACTCCTGTATGCTCTTCTACATTGTCTTCATCAACTAATGATTGTTCTGATGCCTCGAGACTATTTGTCTCCAATTTCTGTTGTTCTATTTGTTCGTCCAGTTCCGGGAGGACAAAAACTAGCTCAAGATTTGATTCTTGAGTTTTATTCAATTGTATACTCAAATTATTATTCAAATCTTTCTGAAATTTTATTTCTTCTTCAAGTTCTGCTTGGATACCATTTTTATCTTGAACCTGAGCTTTTAGATTAGATCCATAGATTAGGTTTTTTTATTCAAGATAGATAAAGTGTGATAACTGCCAAGCCACTTCTTCACCAGGACGATCTTTTCTAAGACCACGCCTCGTCTGAAGAGAAACAGATTGACTGGTCAAACATGGTCAAACATGAAAGTAGGATGCTATGATTATAATCAACAAGTATAATTACACCTTGTCAAATTTTTGTGGGAAGCCACTGTTTGAGTTGTTCATACTATCTGGTGCTGACTCCAGAAATCTCATATTGTAAATTGCCTTCATATCTTCAGGAAGCAAATATGCTAACTGAATATTAAAAAAATGATGTTATTGGGTATATTTTACAAACTACAATGCCTTGATAACAAAAATACAATGTTGTAATAGAAAGAAAAAAAAGATCCTCACCTCCAATATCTTTGCAAGTTTATCAGTCTCAAATTTCTTGGGATGAGTTGCTACATATATCATTAATAATCGGGTCTTTTGTTCATCTGTTGCATCCTGCATGAAGCAACAACATACAACATTACAATTATAGACATGACATGTGGAATGCATATAAAAAAATATTAATTCTTGTTGTTTGCTCACTTGTTCTTTGAGAAACTTAATGATATCTTTTGTTCCTGCATCTCCAAAGACAAGGTCTTGTTCTAATTGCCCCACATCTCTAAGCCCCATCTTCTTGATAATACGATTAATCTTTCCAGCAAGCTGTTTCAGTCAAACTAATATCAGACATAGTTGACCATTATATCAACATAAACCTAGATTTATTTATTTATTTATTTATTTATTAAAAAAAAACAAACAAATACCCTAGAGACTTACATCAAGATGGAGGGATAGTTTGTTCATTTGTTCATTATATTGTGGGAATGCTTGAACCATCTTTTTCAAGTCACGAGTAGACATCTCCCCACCATCTCTACAAAAATAATTATGAATGTTTGTTGAATTACAAGGGTAAAATGGTCATTTAGTCTCATTCAGACACTTTATTCATTCTATAAAGAAAAAAAAAACAGACCTTATGTATACAACAACAATTTACATGGTCATTTAGTCTCATAATATTCATGTTAAATTTCATGAATATTACAAATGTTTGTTGAATTGTAAGGGTAAAATGGTCATTTGGTCTCATTCATACTAGAAAAAGTAAACAAACAGACCTGCCATGCATCTGAACAACTTTATTTCTGGACACAAAATTTGTGATCTTGTCATGCAAGTGTTCACTAGCCTGACAATGAACCATTGATCAAAAGCTATATAATTATATATTTTATTACAAACCAAAACCAAATAAATAAAAAATCTAAAAAAGACATACATCTGCTATATGGGAATGTCGGAGCTCCAGCCATACTGGATCATGATCCTCTAAAAGGACCTCTTTCCTTTCATAACCATCACCTGTTTTTCTTGAAACCTAAGCAATATAATTACTTGACGTATAATACAATAACAATATAAAAAAATTCACTAACAAGATTTTATAATAATAAACAATGTACACTACACTAACCACGTGAACATATTTATTTCCCTCCATTTCAAGTAAATCATGGCACATTGCATCATATGTCCATTCATGAATAACAAGAGCAATCTACAAGTAAAAAAAAAATAGAGTTAGTTCCTAACTCTACTAAAAAATTAAATTAAAGATGAAAGGTTGCATCCTATTATTATAATTTGATAAAGGCCTGGAATGGAAAAGGATACATGAGAAGATGATCTTGGTCGTGAAGATGACTCTGAAACCACATTCTTCCTCACTCCCTGAAGCTCATTGGGTCCTACCTTCCTTTGCTCAGAACCAGCTGTCATGTTTAACCATTCATAAATACAATTAATTTACATTAAATAAAAAATAATTTCAAATACAAAACAAGATGATTAAATAAATTTAAAATAAAAAGTTCTCACAAGAAGTCGATTTGATCACAAGAGGGGTCTCTTGAATTTGTTCAACTGCAGCTACTTTACTCCCAACCTCACGTCTAATAGTACCCACAGACAGTCGTGAATCTTGTGATGGCATCAAAATAGGATCTTTTTCGGAAAAATATACCCCTAGTGAAGATTAGCAATCTGAACAAACATTATTGCATTCTCTTTAGGTATATTCATATTGCAATACAAGTACACACAAGTAATTCGTACATGATTATACAGGCACAAACAGAAAAACCTACAAGCTTCCACGTTTTTAAGCATACTGAAACCATAATTACACAACTGCGTACCTTGAGAAACCGACCCCTCCTGTTTTCCCCAATGTCAAAGTAAAACACTTGAAGAAAGAACCCTAATCAGAAAGGTAATTGGACAAATATGAAGGTTATTTGAAAGAAAAATCTATGATAATTGTTGAAGAAACTAGGAAAGTTAATCCACATTTTGCAGAGTAATAAATATGAAAGTGTATGTATAGTATGTGTAATGTGTAATATAATAAATTGCCTTGCTATCAAGCTGAAGTTCCTTGCTAGAAATATCTTGGTCATCAGAAGTGATGTAGTAGTTGAAGATATCAAAGAACCAAGAGATTCCATTGAAAGGTGTGATTATGGTGGACCTTGTCACCGATGTCTTCTCCGAAATCTTCAGGTAACGACCGCGTGGATTCTCCTTGAGATCAAAGTAAAATAGCTTATGCTCCACCTGTAACGTCTTAGACAACAACTCCACGTCATTCCGAACACTTCGTGCACCTCCGCTGCCGCCCGAGTTAAACTCCATCTCCCCTTACGTCTTCTCCTGCACCTCCACCTGTAACGTCTTAGACAACAACTCCTCGTTGTCCCTTACGTGTTTTGAACCAGGCGAGAGGGATGAGATGGAAATACGAGAGTGAGATAGAAAAAATTAGGGTCGGATTTAGGAACCCTAAATCATCGGCTCAAATTGATAACTGGGAGGTAATAACCCTAAATCCTCAGCTCATTAGGATTGAATTAAGAGTGTAAGAACTTGTTGGAACCGAGAATTAGGTTTTTGGTGGAGGTGATGGATCGAGGAATTGAGGAAGCTGTGGATGAAGACGAAGGCCCTAATTCGAAGAGGCGTGGAATTTTTGGGGTGAATAGGCGGGGGGGTAATTTTTTGGATTTTATTTTCCCCCCTAAAACGCGTGTTCCTTAAAAAAATATATAAAGCGACACAGTTACACGACACACATTTTTTTGTAGGTGCCCTCCGTATTTTTTCTTCTGACACTAATTTTATGGTACACAAAAATGCGTGTTATCTATCCTTTAAATTTTGAAAAACTAACATTAAGTGTGCGTCATTAATTGCACGTCGTAAAAGGCTATTTTTCTAGTAGTGAATATGGACACGTTTCCATATTTTCCATATGACAACTCATTCTTAATAGAATTTTATCTATTCATAATAATGTCGATATGGTTCATCCAATACTATACTTCCAGCTACTCACAAGCTACCAATCCTCGGCGAACTTTGGAATGTCCTTTGATAGTTGTTTAATTATCTTAATCAAAACCGATTCTTGTCCTTTTTCCCTCTAAATGCGCTAGACATTTGGAAAATTTTAGAATGGTCATATATTATAGCATTTGCAATCGATCCTATACCCGAAGCGTATGGGACACGATGCATAATGTCTTACATAAAGATTTGATACTTTATCAATCTTCTGCCATAATATTTTATGTGCTACATTCTCAAAATTCAAATTATGAAGGGGAATGCTGTAATCATAGTTGAAATTTGTGAACACACTATGTTTCTTGACTAAATTAATAACATTCCACAACCTAAGCTTTTAGATTTGAAATGAAGCATAATATTCTCTCCCTTAATTATAGCAAAACAACTATTCAACCCTTACAACTTTGCAAAGTATAACTCTTGTTTTCTATAATTAATATTGCTAACTTGCAATGATTTCCATAATAATCATACAATTATAACATTTATGCTCCCACTATCATGATGATTATTATAAATAAAACACTTACGCTCCCACTAGCTTTGACATGTATTCAGAAACAACTTCACTTTCAGAAAAAAAATACTTATTGAATTTCTTAAGTTCATGTTTATGATACCTAATGCTTTGATAATCCTTTATCTAAGCTTATGCACCTTTCCCTTTGATAGCTCATA